ACACACACACACACACACACACACACACACACACACACAGAGGGTGTCCCGCGTAAGACGTACGAAAAGAAAAATATAAGTAGAACACATTTTAAAAGTGAATAAAAATTGTATAGGTCATTTTTCAAACAACCACGTAAAATTTCGAGATATTAATTAAAATATTTGGGCATATTAGAGCGCGACGCAGAATTTTTTGCAGGCAAGACATACGGCTCGCCGCGGCCGGCGAAGAAAATGGAAGAACGCACACACGGAGCTACTCATTTCAGTATACCAAACGGCTCACCTCTCTGGGTTATAAGATAGGCTCGCAAGCAATCGTCCATTTTCTTTGCCGGCCGTGGTGAACCGTACGTTCCGTCTGCCGTGTCGCTGCGCTCTGATATGCCCAACTATTTTAATTAATATCTCGAAATTTTATGTGGTTTGAAAAATGACCTATACAGTTTTTGCTCACTTTTATCTGTTCTACTTATATTTTTCTTTTCGTACGTCTTACGCGGGATACCCTGTATATACAGGGTGTCCCGAAGTCCCATGATGACCCTTGGTGAGAACGTAGAACGGATTGAGGTGAGCAAGAAAGTCCTGTGCCGTTTTGCGATATTCGCAATAGTTTTTGAGAAATTAATTATTTTGTCTCAACAAATCAGCGTACAGAAAGCGGCAGCGGAAAGAAAGATGCCTTCGGCCGACGTGCGACCGTGACACTCGCGAATCGTATCTCGCCGCATCCCTCCGCCCATAGCTACGAGACATAGCGAGTCTATGTCTCGTAGCTATGGGCGGAGGGATGCGGCGAGATACGATTCGCGAGTGTCACGGTCGCACGTCGGCCGAAGGCATCTTTCTTTCCGCTGCCGCTTTCTGTACGCTGATTTGTTGAGACAAAATAATTAATTTCTCAAAAACTATTGCGAATATCGCAAAACGGCACAGGACTTTCTTGCTCACCTCAATCCGTTCTACGTTCTCACCAAGGGTCATCATGGGACTTCGGGACACCCTGTATAGGGTGTCCCGCATAAGACGTGCCAAAAGAAAAATATAAGTAGAAATAGATAAAAGTGAACAAAAATTGTAGAGGTCATTTTTCAAACGACCACGTAAATTTTCGAGATATTAATAAAAATAGTTGGACAAATTAGAGCGCACGACGCGACGGGCGGGACATACGGCTCGCCGCGGCCGGCGAAGAAAATGGACGATTACTCGCGGACCTATCTTATAGGCCAGAGAGGTGGACCGTTTGGCATATGGAAGTTGGTAACTCCGTGTGTGCGTCCGTGTATGTGTGCGTTCGCCATTTTCTTCGCCGGCTGCAGCGAGCCATATATCCCGCCTACCGCGTCTCCGCGCTCTGATATGCCCAACTATTTTAATTAATATCTCGAAGTTTTACGTGGTTGTTTGAAAAATG